AGGTCATCACTGCTAGAGTTTCCATACTTTCCTGTACCGTGATGGGATCTACCAATATAGTCAAGGAATAGAAAAATGTCAGAATGGATTCTTTCATTTTGGTGATGAAGTGCTAGCTTTGCTTGCCAGCATGCAGGGTTCAATAAAAGCAGACAGGTCTTCAAAAAATTGCAGCATAAATAGATGAACTCTTTAAAGTAATATAAGTTCTGTCATCTAGATGTGAAATATAGACCTAAGTGCCCGCCGAAGTAAAAGCTGACCGCACATTCCATAGATAAGTGTTAAAGTTTTCTCAGAGTGTCTTGGGCTGAGAAATGTTTTAACTACATATCTCATTGCCACAATAGACAGAACGAAAGCATTTGAAGCTAAATCCATTTTTCAAAGGAAGAAAACAAAGCATCCATAAAGAAACAAAAGCATATCATAGGATGAGGTCTCCAGATAGCTACTGTTTTCAGGAAAGTTGCAATTAGCTGTGCGACGGAGAAGGTGAACTTAGTTGTATTTCAATAGCATTTATAATGATTTCAGTTAGCCGGAACGCTGATAAGTACGTGCAGGGGGTTGGTTTCAAGATTTCCTTGTGAGACAGAAGGTCAGGATTCCCGTGGTCTCCTGTCATATTTAATTCATATCCTCTAGCCTTCTTCACCACATTTATTGAATTACAGGAATAAAATTCAATGAACCAAAAACAAAAGAAGAGAGGACAGGGCAAATCCTGGTTTCTTTTACATCCCTACTGCACACCTGACCTCAGTGGGCTCTTAAGAGAGCATCTTAAAACAGAATTTTGAGGGAGGGAGAGGTACAAGTTAGTATAACCCCTCTCACCACCCCCATAATTGCACCCGAGTAATTTATTGCAAGGAGCGGCTATCTGCAGGTGGGAGTAAGGATCCAATTTCTACCAGACAGAATCTCCCTGTATACTTTTAAAGGCTAATCGTTGTGTACCCCCTGTGCATGTTTTTGTCAGATTCCTTCTTGTCACAAATGAGATGGCAGTAGAAGGGCTTTTCAAAACCATTCCTCAGAAAAGCATCACTGGCAATTCATCGCGAGTACTAAGAGGCAGTCCTCAAACACGTTAAAAATATCAGTTTCAGGGAAGTGCCCTATTGGCAAGCTGATAATGATGATTTCCTACAATCATTTTAATTAAATTGATACAGCCTTGATTCTCCCTTCACAAGCGAGATGCAATAAGCACAAGTGGTTCCAGCAGGCTTGCAGTGTGGACTTCACTGCTGGAGTATACGGGGAGTAGCTCCAGACACGCTCTGTGATTTTGGGGAAGAAGATTTTGTCGTGTCTCCTTCATCCCTATAGCCCTATGTTTATTGTCCCGTATGCTGCCTCCAAGAACTGGGCTGTTTGGGGTGTAATTGTGGGTCCATGAGATTTCTCAGCTATCTCTTCAGTTAAATCTGCACACAGCGTCTGCACCGTGATTTAAATATCTGTGCAGCTAAACTAGTGCAACGCTCTAGTGTGAGCACAGTCATATCAGAACCTCACACAAATAACCTGTACCGGTATCCAATAAAATCTTTACAATAGCGTAATTTGGCTTTAGAGCCAGGTATGTGCAAATCTGGTTGTTGACTCTGACCCAAAATATTCATCAAAAAAAGGGACACATAAAATGTTTTGAAATTCTATCCAAAACTGCAAGCTCACCAATATCTAGTTTTGGCATTTGAATTTTTGGAAATGTCATAGCTAATAAATAATGCATTATTTTCTGAGCTACAATGTACATTTTTCTTAAAAAATGAATCTGCTTAACTTCCAAAAAATGAAGTGCTCTGCTCACGTACATGTCAACCTATGGGACGGCTGCCTTTCCACTTAATACATTTAACAAAGGTGACCAGATGCTTTGTGTTTTTAATGGCTTGTTCTGCATCCCAACAAAATGTCCCTGTTTTGGCTGTGACTGCAGATGATTCATTCTGAAACCCAGCCCAGCTGCTCTGACACAGCCGAGGCAGGGCACAGTTAAAAAACAAGCCATCTGTGCAAAAGAAGTGGGCTGGGGGAGTGCTTTGTCAGGGCAAGACACTCATTCCCTGGTCACTCTTGTTTTCTAGGCATCCAGTAACCCCAAAGTCTTACAGGTCCAACCTCTTCCCCTTTGCAGTCCAATTTTGCAGCTATAACCCATCTCCCATCCTATTTTCTTCCTTCCCTACTTACTAAGAAACCCTTCAGCCTGCTCTGCTACATAGAGTGTGTGTAGATCAAACTTTTCTGTAAAATGTAAGACGTTGCTTCCACTTTCAATCTTTCCAACCACGTGGCAAAATTCCTGACCCTGTAGCTGCGTCAGCCAAGCCTCACGCTAGAAAAAGCAAGAGGGACTCATTTATGGCTTTTCTGAATAATTAGCTCTGCCCAGTTCTGTATCAGCATCACTCGATGGTCAGCGCCGCCAAAAGAGACATCCTGCATGCAGGAACAGTCGCGCCACTCGCGCGCAGGCTGGCTGAATTCAAGGGCAAAACTCTACCCGCAGGCAAAGCTCCCCGTTGCGTCGGCAAGAGGCAGGCAGAGTCTGTCTGTGCTTATTTGAAGGCAAAGCCTGGCCTTGAGTGTGTCGTTGAGTCACTTCAAGCCTTGCGAGGGTTCTGGCCCCGCAGCATCCTTCCGC